AATTTGCATGGGCTGAAAACAATGGAATACTTCATCTCCAATGCTGTTTAATTTTCTTGCATATTATGTCACCATGAATTTTAATGCTGAAATGGGTGCACTGACACACAGTGCATAAAAATGAATTTCCATCTTCAGGAAAAATGTCATTTTGTTTCTTGGATATGAGGGTGCTTTTCTGGAATTCCATCAGTTGGGCTTTGGCTTTCGAACTGTGTAGTTGTCTACTGAAAGTCACTTAGGAGTAAGCATCATGTGAGTTTCTCACAGCAGTGGTTATGAAGAGTTCTGTCTTCTGGGATATAACCCTGTGTACTCTGTTGAAAGTTGAAACATGTTTTGGAGGAACGTGTTGCATCCATCTTCAGGGTCCAAGAATAAACCAAGCAAGTAACAACCAGAGCCTCTGAGGCCATATGCTACCTGCTTAATTCTGGTTTCTTGCTTGGCTTATTCTTTGACCCTTAAGATGGAGGTGACATATTCCTCCTAACGTTAGTTGACTTTCAAGAGACTACATGGCATTATATCCCAGAAGACAGAACTCTTCAGTAAGCAGAAATTTTAAAGTGGTCCAGGAGAGAGTGGGCAAAATTAGGGAACAAACCATTATCTTCCCTCGGCCCTTCTGCATGTCACTGGGAATCATCCCTGGCTAAGGAGTACAATGCAGTAAGTAATTCATTGACCCTCTTGTAACATAAGCCAGTGGTGAGTAATTAACAGATAAATATAACAAACAATAATGAGGCCATAGTCACTAAAAATTCCACACCCACCGCTATTTTATGCCCACAGGATGCAGAACTATTTAGAACTGATTGGTCAGCCCGTATTTCCAAAGGCATAGAAATCATTGATAGAACAACAACATAATCTATCTTTACAGGCACACCAGGATTAATCCAACTGCACTAGTTTCTTCAATTTAACTAATTTAATGCTTAACATTTAATTTTTAGCTTTTAACTTTAACCTTTAACATATTATGAAATAGTCACACAATACATACCTTAAAATTCAGCAAGGCATGTGAACCCATTGCTAGGCAGTGACCATGAAATAAGCAGATATGCAAGAGCCATTGATAGGTAAGGGCCACAACAGGTTGGCAACATGAACCAATGGAGTAATTGGGAAGCTGTGTTCTCTGCATGATCTGTGTGATGCAACAACAGAAGAAATTTTGGGAGAGGTGTTTTCTGTGCACCCTGTTTTGAGGTGTTATAAGCAGCACAAGTCTAGGGTTTAGTTAGCTGTGAGACAGTCGCCAGCTGGTAAGGGTGTGGACACAGACACTGAGGAAGGTATGGCACTGAACACCATTACCAGGTGACAACCAGTGAAGACACAGCAGACTGAGAAGACTTTGTACGTGCTGTAGTGAACTGCAGAGTGTGTGAATTAGCAATAGTTCTATAGTTGTAGTTACTATCTGTAAGGGTTCAGTAAATCGAATTACCATTCCAGACCCCATCTATAGCCACTCAATCGCGATGATATTTATAATGACCAGGGTGGAGGAGATTGTGAAGTTCATGGAGGTGCATGTTCATAGTAAAGGGTTCAGTGTTCTGTTCCACATGGAGATAGGTACAAAATTCTGGTATTGATAATTCTATCAGTATTATCAATGTCATCATCTACAATCAGTGATTGCATACAAGAAACCTATTCAGAACTTCAGCTCCATATCTTCTCAAATTTTTCAACATGTCTCTTTCATCACAGTATATCTGAATTTCACTTTCAGAAGATGGGCAGAATTCATCCTGTGCTTTATTTTGAAAGAATTATATCGAAATTGATAATTTTATGGGAAATTGTTTTCTGACACACATGGTTCCTGTTTGTGTATAGGTAAGAATGCAATGGAATTACTTTATAATTGACTTGAATTGTTCATATTATATACTTCAGCATGGAACACAGAAGAGCAGAATCAATTTAAGGAGTCGGTGTGTATTCTGTGAAACGTAAAGTTGTCCCTGTGCTTAAGCAATTAAGCACTACGCTATGAAGGTGTATGGGGAAATGGATGTATAGATACACATTTTCTTGACTTCTATACTAGTTGTAGGTGAGCCGTTGGCTTCACACCCTGCCCGCGCTACTCCAATGAAAGGGTCACAGTACGCATTGGATAGGAGGTTGGCTGGACCCCAGAGCCAGTCTGAACGACGTGGAGATGAGAAAATTCTTGACCCTACCAGAACTCAAAAATCAAACGGGCTATCGCCGAGCGTAGTATAAATGCGACCGTTTGAAGCAATCTGATTGGTTAGCGCGCGTGATGGTGAAAAGTGATGTGAAGAGCGAGCGTTGCAGAAATGCGTGATAATGTGGGATGTTCCCACAAACCCTTAGTTGGCCAGTCACTGTACTGACTACACAATCCTGGCTCCACTTGTATTTTGTAATTAAGTATTTTTATGAATTTCCTGGGTTGTTAATAATGTTTTGATTATTGTACTCTGCTATTTTGTAATCACTCTTTGATAGTCAATATGGTCAATATCTTTGGAACAAAATGACATGTAGTTTCAATTCTTGCGTGGTAGTGTAGTGTAATGTTTTCTCAACAGATGGCGAAGGTCACATGAGTCACGTGAGTGTCGGCACGCGCTACGAGCAGAAGACAGCAGCAACAATGGCTGAAAGGTTGTTCTTTGAACAACGCAAGACTGTACTGAAGTGGTACCGGGCGAGGCGCAATTGAAAATGAACGATACTGTTAACCGCCACAGTTGTGGCTATTGGACTCCTGTAAATCCACATGTTCACGTGGCAAGGAAGTGAATCTACGGCGTGTTAATGTGTGGTGTGGTCTGTTATCGCGCGGTTTGATTGGTCCTTTCTTCTTTGAAGGTACCGTAACTGGTCAGGTGTATCTCGATATGCTTCAGACATCGATTTTCCCTGCCATTCAAGAGCTGTTTGGAGATGAGAGATTTTAACTACAGTAAGATCAAATAAGATGGTGCTCAACCTCACTACCATCGAGATGACAGGGCGTACTTGGATGACACTCTACCTGGACGATGGATAGGTCGAAGAGGTGCTATTGAGTACCCACCACGGTCTCCAGACCTAATATCTCTCGACTTCTACCTATGGGGAACCTTAAAGGATAAAGTTTATCGACAAAAGCCATCTACACTGAACGCGCTACGAGAAACCATCGAAGCGTTGTGTGCAGCCATCACACCGGATACACTGACAGCCGTAGTTCGCTCAGCAGTTCGGCGGCATCGACACTGTTTAGCCGCTGATGGTGGTCATTTCGAACACATACAATGAATCTCTCTCTCTCTCTCTCTCTCCGCGCAAGAATTGTAACTACATGTCATTTTGTTCCAAAGATATTGACTATTAAAGAGTGAGTATATTTTTTGGACCCCTCTGCATTATTCCATTCAGTGTTAAATTTGTGAACTGTAGCATATTTCAGATTCATAAGGTTCGTCATAGCTCTGAAATTATTTTATTACTTTTGGCATTGTCACGTGTTGGATGTGTCACGGATTCAGCGAATCTTTATTGGACACTCACACTTACACACCATACAATTATCACTTGCAGTATTACAATTACTGCTTACACAATACCTCGGCCAATACTTCTGTAGCTCCAACTATCTAAAGTGGCAGCTTCCCGAAGGCGGACTTCTTCGGCGGCTATTCCAAGACTCACTTCTTCTTGTCGAAGCTGGGCTATTTATACCTCGGCGGTTGCTATACAATGTGCCTTTGTTATAACCGTGGAAACTCATCTCTATGCAATTCTCACTGCTAGAATTACAGTATCGCTATTGTTACTTCCTATGCAACGGTCTGTTCTAGCGTTTCCATAGAAGTGACTCTTCTGGATTCCAAACAAGTTACATTATGTTATTAAATTCAATATTAATCTTGTTAACATGGCGTGTTACAGACTCTTGAGGTTTCTCATACTACTGCAGTTATTATTAATAACCAGAAATCTTTGTTCTATATAGCTTTCAAGTATAAGCTGTGAAGAAAAGTTACACAGTTGAATACAGATATCTCTGATGAGAACAGATTTTTCATTCAAGTACATCCAACTTCAGCTTACCTGACTATCTATGCTTCTAAGTGTTGTATAAATGGTATCCTCGTGTTTCCAGTGCATTTCAGTTACGGGACGTTGGATGGTTTTAAACGAAACATTCTTATTTTACAGGCACTGATGAGAAACTTTCTCCAGAGAGATTTATTTATTTCGTCTCTATAGATCATTGTTACATGATATAGGACAAGTCAGTTACTGTACATTGGCTGATTACAATAAGAGAATATAATTACAATGCTTACAATTGTAAATGAGTAAACTGATGTTAACCAAACTCCTATCTAAAAATGATGAAGAACCTCTAAAGTACATGAAGTAAAGGTGACAAAATTATTCATTGATGACTTGCGAACTCGGGAATCAGGTGCCGATGTATGCATATGTGAGAAATTGGGAAAAGATGACTCTACTAGTTTTGGCGTGTTATTTGCCTGGCAGTAAGAACATTACCCCAGAAATTGGATAACCTTCATTGAAGGTTCGTCGCCTGGGAACGTCATGTTGTATGAAGATTCGTTGCCTGGGCCCGTGTTGTTGAATGAAGGTTCGATGCTAGGGAACGTCTTGTGTATTAAACAGTGCATATGAATACTCTTTGGAATTCTAGTGAGAGTTAACACGAAAGGACCGACTGTGAAACGACTTGTTCAATATTTTGTGTTATAGTTACGTTGAATTGTAGTTACATCGCTGAGTAATAAAGTCACGTCGCAAGAATATGCCTCGAAATCTTATTTCACAAGAGCATAGAATAATACGATATTGAAGTAAGAAAGAATCTTCTTACCGATTGAACCTCCGGCGGTGGCTACAGACATTAGGCATCAATATTCTGAATAAGAAAAGTAGATAGCAGCACAATTCATCTTTCGTGTGAGTGTGTCAGAGGCGTCAGAGGGATCGGAACCTCGGAACCGCTCGGAACGGTCAGAAGCAGTCAGAACTGGTTGGAAGAGTGGGAAGGAGGCGTTTCCCGTGTGATTGTGAACGTTTTATATAGCACGTTTCTTGTTCCCCGAAAATGGGAGCTCATGTGTCGAGAACTGACTTTGAATGGACTTATACAGAAGAACCGCATGCTAGTCGACGAAAAGAAATTTTAGGTAAGTGTCCTCAATGCATTTCCATGTGCAAGGGAGAACAAACAGCTGTCCGTATTTTGAATTGCTATAATGTGAAGTGATATAATTTGCAAGCCATAGCCGCCTTTAAATGTAAAATTGAATATTGAAGCACAGAGTTTTATGAACTATGCTCTACTAAGAGCAGTACTTAACAAAGAACTACTGACTGCCTTATAATTACATGTGTCAATAATGGTTACGTGTTAACTTCAGATCGAGGAAGTGTATGATTTGACCAAGTTATTTATGAAATTTAATGCGGGACAGAGGCTCTTGAGCTCTTGACGCGTAGTGATAGTACAGCGATGAATATCCCACAATGCAAAATAATGCAGCTTAACACAAACTTACTCATGGAGCTGAACCCTTCTGGAGGAGCCGCCAATTCTGCAGCCACTCAAGAATTCCCCAGCATTTTATGGAACCCGAAAGTTCATTACCGTGTTCACAAGAGCCCTCCACTGGTCACTATCCTGAGCCAGATCTATCCAATCCATACCATCCCATCCTATCTCTCTTAAGATCCATTCTAATATTGTCCACCCACCTATGCCTTGGTCTTCCCAGTGGTCTCTTTCCTTGTGGCTTTCCCACCTATATATGCATTCCTCGTCTCCCCCATTCGTGTTACATGACCTGCCCACCTCATCCTCCTTGACTTGATCATTCTAATTATACTTGGAGAAGAGTACAAGTTATAAAGCTCCTCATTATGCAGTTTTCTCCAACCTCCTGTCACTTCATCTCTCTTTGGTCCAAATATTCTCCTCAACACCCTGTTCTCAAACACCCTCAGTTTGTGTTCCTCCCTTAATATCAGGGACCAAGTTTCACACCCATACAAAACCACAGGCAAAATTATAGTTTTGTATATTCTAATTTTTATGTTCTTGGACAGCAGACAAGAAGACAAAAGGTTCTAGACTGAATGGTAGCAAGCATTACCCGAGTTCAATCTCCTCTTAATTTCCTCCTGAATCAGGTTCCGATCTGTTATTGTTGTTCCTAAATATCTGAACTGTGCCACATTTTCAAAACATTTGTTTCCTATCTTTATGTCATGATTTTTCCCTGCATTTTGGTGATGAGACAGTAACATGTACTTAGTTTTCTCTGTGTTTGCTTCTAGACCAACCTCTTTACTTGCATCAATTAAAGAGTGTATGTTTTTCTGTATGGTATTTACATAATCACCCAGTAGATTCACATGATCGGCGTACACCAACAGCTGATGTGTCCCGTTTAATTTCAGTCCCACCTCGTTTCCCTGGACCTTCCTAATTGCATATTCTAAGGAAAAGTTGAAAAGGAGTGGCGATAAAGCATCTCCTTGTTATAGGAAATTTATCAGACAAATGTTTACCTACATGGGCTTTACTACACGTTTCGTTTAAACACATTTTAATCAACCTAACTAGTTTCATGGGTATCCCAAACTCTATCAGAATATTGTACAATACTTCCCTCCTAACTGAATCATAGGCTTTTTCGAAATCTATGAATAGCTGATGTACTGTCTCATCGTACTCCAATTTTTTCTCCAATATCTGACGAATGCAAAAGATCTGATCTGTAGTTGATCTGTTACGTCGAAACCCACACTGATGATCCCCAATGATTTTATCTATAGGGACTTAACCTTGAAAGAAGAATATTGGACAAAATTTTATATGAAGTTGATAGAAGTGATATCCCCCGATAATTACTACAGTCAGTTTTATCACCCTTCTTATGAACTGGTAAAATAATAGACTCCTTCCACTGATCATGCCCCCATATTACATTTGTGAATTTTGGGCATAACACTGCATATAGGATATTGGTGGGATAGCCAGAAGGAAAGAGACCACTGGGAAGACCTAGATGTAGGTGGGTGGACAATATTAAAATGGATCTTAGGAAGATAAGGTGTGGTGATACAGACTGGACTGATCTGTCACAGGATAGGGACCAGTGGACGGCTGCATGACCATGGTAATGAACTTCTGTTAAGAAATTCATGAGTAGCTGCACAACTGGCAGCTTCTCAAGAAGGGCTCAGCTCCTTGAAATTAGTCATATTACAAGGTGGTTGAAATATGCCCGGAACTGATTTTTTTTATACCATAATTGCCAAACACATGCTTGCACATGTCAGTCTTCAACGTACTCCCCTCCAGAGTTAGCAAATTTTTTTGAATGTTCTGGAAGCATCCTGATCCCCTTTTCAAAAAAGGCTTGTGGTTGGCGGTGTATCCACTCCCGAACAGTCTGGATGATGGCGTCGTCGTCCACAAACCGCATGTCTTGCAAGTCTGATTTGAGCCTTCTGAACAGGTAGAAATCACTTGGGGCCAAATGGGGACTGTACGGCAGATGTGTCAGAAGGTTCCATTTCAGTTTCTGGAGGGTTTCCGTTGTTGTTTTGGCCATATGAGAGCGTGCATTGTCTTGAAGGAAGGCTACCCGCTTTCCACCTGTGTTCCGCTTGGAGCGGAACTTTTCCTTCATGTCTGTTGCCAGGAGGTCTGAGTAATAAGCTGCATTGACTGTTCTGGCATCTGTCAGAAAGTCTACATGGGTAACCCCCTGCCAGTCCCAGAAGAACATTGCCATCACTTTTCCTGCCGAACGGCTCCTCCGTGCTCTCTTGGGTTTGCGAGAACTGGTATGCCGCCACTTGCGTGATGACTCCTGGGATCTTGTTGTCTTCTGTTATGTCATGTTCTATTAACACATTTTATCCAACAGTTTGCAATTGCCATTGAACCCACTTTGTATGCAACATAAATTCCATAACTTGCAGTTCTGAGTTTACAGTGTCAGCAAGTAGCTACTAGGCTGTGCAGACTCAAATAATGCTTTGACTCATGGGCTGCCATATTCTATGGCTTTTTGCCCCCTCATTTTTTTTTAATTTCAGGATATTGACAGAAGGATAGGGTTGGATAGTAATCCCACATTAACAAACATTGTATACACATTTCTTGGAACACAAATCACCTCTTACTGGCAGTGCTTCTTGGTCTGGAAGTGGTGCTAACTTTATGTCATCTGAAGAAAGCAGTCTTCTGGGATTTGGCACCGTGTATATGTGGTGTTAACCGACGTTTCGGAGGAACGTATCGCCCCCATCTTCAGGGTAGAAGAAAAAGTATAAGAATTCTGCAAGCGACAACACCGTGAGAAACGGTAAAGCAGACTGCTTTCTTCATAGTCACCGCCGTGAAAGCCTCAAATCTTACATTTATGTCATCTGCTCCAGCACATTTGTCCCAGGAGCTCACAATTGCCATTTGACTAAATTTCCTACAAGCTAAACCAGAATTATATGCAACATTTTTCAGCACTGATGTTTTTAGAAATTCTGAATTTATAATTCCACAAAATAGCTCATCATGATAATAAGCATTGCAAGCTCCAGTTGTACCATGATCCATGGGCAAATCAGTGCAGCCATATTCTTTAACAGAAATACAACTCTTTTTGCTGTATTTTAATTTTAAAGACAATTAAGGATTGGCTGGGTAGTGATCCACCTGTAACAGAGCCTTTTCTTCAAGTTTTTTTGGAACATATAGTGGATGTTACTGATAGAACAAACTCATTTTCAAATCATGAAATACAAATGTCTTGCAAACGTTGGAACTGTTTTGTAGATCACAGACACAGGTTTCATGATGACATACTTTAAACAGTGTGGACTTTGATTTTGTACCATTTCACGTGGTTTTAGGTTGTAGATTTTTGTTTCAGCAACAGTCACCCTCTTTTGTTATTTTTGTAACTGTTTTGATGGATGTTTTTTAGATTGCATGATGTTTCACGTACAGTTTTTCACCCAGAGTAACTTTTTATCCACTAAGCTCTTTGTTCTCTTGCTCTTTTACAGATTTTTAATTTTTATAAAACATGAACTAATTGTAGCTCTAAGTACTATATGTACACTTGTATAAAATATATCTGAGCTACATTTGCTGTTGCTAATAAAAACATGGGATGGCCAGCCAGCCAACCAAGGTACAGGGAGGGAGAGGAAGACCACCAAGTGCTAGCCACATACAGAAAGAACCTAATCCTACTTTGTACTGTCAGATGTAAAATTATTATGTTTAAGTGTGTAGCACTTGAGGGTTAAGATGTGTGCCTCTCTTGTTAATGCTTTATAGTTCTTTGATTCACAAAATATAGTGTAGTGTAAAAGTTAGTTTTGAAATTAAAAGGAGAAGAAGTACACTTGTAGGTATGGGAAGTAATCTATGATGTAAAGACTTTAATGGATTCTGAGGTGAGGAGAAAGGAATCACCCATTGGAATTAAGAAAGCACAGTTTGAAAACAGCCAAAGCAACAGGAGGGTCTCATGATGCACTGAAGGAAATTAAAAGAGAGCCAAGTAGACTAGACACTGCAGAAGGAACTCCTTTCTTGACACTCCCCCCCCCCCCNCAAAGAAAAGAACAGCAAACATTGAAATACCAGCTACATGGACTTCACAAAGCTGCAGTTTGTACAACTGACTTCTGTATTACCAAAAACATGTACCAATTGTTGAAACTCTTCAGCGAAAGCTGAAAGACAGCATAAACTTTCAAGGCTGCAGTACCACATTAAGAAAAGTTTTAAAAGAAATTGGGTTTTAAGGAGGGTGGAAAACCGCAACACAGCATCTTCTCTTGATTGAGAATTCAGGCATTCCAGACAAAAGACTAAGACCCATGCATTGATTCAGGATTGAAAATCATCTAATAATATGCATGGATGAGTCATGGGTACAAAAATGGAATATTCCATTTGTTGGTAATGTGCTGAAACCAATCTACTTCAGGTCATTAAACATTACCAAGCCCTAGTAAGTACAGTCCTCAATAGATAAAGTATTGGAAAGGCATGGACAGAACACTCTTTTTGCCACCCCATAACCCTGATTTAAACCTGATCAGAAATATCTGGGCAGAAGTTAAGGGCCATGCGGCATCAACAAATGTTATTTGTAATATGGAGGATGTGAAACGCTTGAAGAAGTATTTCATGGTATTGGCGAAGAAGACTGGAGGCCACTTTCTGAGCACATGAAGTTGGAGAATGAGAATTGTGATAGAGATGAGCATTTTGACTGTACAGTTGACCTATCATGGTCACTTTGAGAGGTGTGAAGATTGATGACAGTGACAGCAATGAAGAGGACAATAGCCCGGATTCACATGATAACAAAATGGGTGCTATTGCATTACTCACAGGAAACAATGGATTATGGCAGCAAGTGCTTAATGTTTTCGGTTACACTGCACATGCTGAGAGACACTTTGCCATCCTGCTCTTGCCTTGCCCTTTCCATCTTCATCCCTTCCTGTGATGTAGATCAGGCTCAGAGAAATTTTGCATGATATGTTTTTCCAGTTTATATGATACAATTTGGCATAATATTGTGACGTGGGTGGCGCAAGAGGAAGTAGGGGTCACGTGAACTCTGTGGTCTCGCGAGTGACGTCACATACCCCCACTCCTTCCATAATTATTCAACGCTCCGTAAACGCCCCTCCCCCACAGTGACATAAGAGCACTTCCCACAGTGGCATAACAGGGGGCACCATGGTTACTACACAACAATAAACAACTCTCGGCAGCATTCCTCAGCAGCGCCTGTAAACAAGATGTTACGCAACAGTGGTAGCTATCACGTAACTGTTTTCTGTGTTGTCAGTGCAGAAGCTACATAACGAGGAGTATTCGTCAGTGTAACCAGAGTTACTAGAGTAGTAAGTATTGAGTTACGAGTTGAATTGTAGCAGTCGCCGAGTTCAGTTGTAGCAAGTGAATCGTGAACGTGAAGAAGACCAGAACATGTGATTAGAGGTGATAGTGTGAGAAGGTATTGGGTGTGTGTAATACAGTGACACTGGTATAGCTCCCATATTGTACTGTGAATAAGTGAAGACTATTGAAGATAGAGTGATCAGATTATTGTGTAGGGTTTATAAATTGTGTAAACCTGGAACTGTGTTATAATTAATTGTAGTTACGATTTGTAGTTTGTTGAATAAACCCATTAACAATCTGAACAACGTCTTCAGTGGAAAAACACGTTACAATATGTCTGCAGATTATACAGAGAACTATAAGGTGAAGTTATGACCACTTGCTGAGATATAGTCAGTCATTTGGGTGCTTTCCTTGCATCATTCACAGAATTAATGCTATTGTCTGCAAACACTAAGTTGCCCTCCAGTATCTGAACCACTGTCATCCTTCAATAAAGGAGTTCCAAGAGAACACTAGAGAAAACTAGAAATCGCAGCAAGGTGTCGTGCCCTTTCATAAGGGAGTGTGGACATTGACCTTTCTCCATATCTGTGCAGCTCAACTTAGAATATGGAAACACGATCACCTGAATAATTTTAAACATATTTTGTGCAATTTCTATGAAATAAAATGTGACTGTCTGGGGGGTCATGATCAGATCGCTGTACGTTTTAGTGCGGTATAAAGCTGTGAAGTGTGTTGAGGTATTGTAATGTGTCTTAATTATTATTTCACATGTTTGTGACAGTTTAATGGTTTTCTTTTACTTTATATTGCAGAAAAATATCCTGAAATCAAGAAACTGTTTGGCTATGACCCATACTTCAAATGGGTAGCTACGGGGATGGTTCTTGTTCAATTTTTCATGATGTATGTAATGATAAATCAGTCGTGGCCCATGATATTCCTGGTTGCATATTGTTTTGGTGGAGTCATCAACCATTCTCTGATGTTAGGTGAGTTTTTACAGTTAATTTGGCACTCCTTCCCCCACAGATTCCCACACAGCCTTCACATTATCCTCAGCTGAATTACTCTACCTATCTGACATTCATCCTGCTAAACCTTGAGCTGAAATCCTGCCAGCAAATTTCATATGTAAATCATTGCAATTAATTTGTTTACCAGAAATGTGTGACAAGCGTAGTACTTTATACAGGTCACCTGCTGTTGGGGTGGTGTAATCAGTGAGCTCATACATGTTGCTCCTTTGGAAATTTCAAGAAGTGTATACAGGTTTTTAAACCATGGAGATCTTCATCCAGTCCTTTTTAAATGTTCTGCAAGAGTTCACTTTCATATTTTCACTGAATTTTACTGGGTTTCTCAAAAGTCTTTATGCAAGAAATGTGAACCTGCTCTGAATTTTATTCCATGTATATTGCTTTAAAACTTCTGTATAGAAGTTTAGAAAGTCTGAAGTTTCTGATGCATGCAGGAGTCATTTTGGTCTCCTAGTAATTGAAGAGTAAACAACTGCCTAGTGTTAGGAATGAAATCAGCCTGTTTTGCCACATCCATGGTACCAAATGTTACGTTTTCAGTTTTGCACGTAAACATAGTTATTAGGTTTTGGTAATACGTGTAACATTTTACATGAACTGGGAGTTAGTGTAGTAGATGGAAAAATTAAGACAGTGAATTAAATTTGGCATATTCAGTATTGGTGATAGGATAGTGCATGTATTAATGAAAAAGTGTATGAAATTTTTTTTGTAATATTTCAAGGTTAAGAGACAAGTTGACAGGCCTCGGCATCACTATTAAAATGAAAGAGTGCTTAAGGAAATAGGGTGAAAATTTAATTGTTATACACTGAAGATGGAGACAGCAGGCTTCTCCAAAATATTGGTGCCTATTTACCAATTGACATGTGATCACATACCAGAATATCCATCACTCTGAAAAGCTCAGTTGTCATATTTAAAGTTGCTTTGTTCCTGTTCAGAAATCTACACTGTCTGTCCATGCCTCCATCATCACTGATTTGGAATTCATTCAACACAACTGATAACCAGAGAATACTTTATTGCAGAACTTGAACTATGTCTGTTTTTAAATAAAAGTGACAGTTTAAAATTTAGTTTCTCAAATGCTAGTATCCTTAGTAAGTACCTTGTCTGTTTGTTGCCTTGGTTTTGTTCAGAAGTAGCTGATACTTGCTGTGAAACAGATTTGTGTGTTATTTGGTTGTATTGCATTTTATTAAAAAGAAACAGTAAAGCTATCCCTGTAACAGGCTGTGGAGGCCCATAAGGTTGTGAGACATCAAGGCTTCCACATTTTCTAGACAGTCAGCTCACAGATGACCTTATGTGCCAGCGGCCCTTTACTCCCAGAAAGATTCCTGGCACTCATTTCTGTTAGAGGCTGAGTTGACCCCAGGGCCATAATGCAGCTGGAAGGATTAGGTCAATTGGAAAAATCCAGTTACCTCATCAAGAATTGAACCTGTGACCTTCAGGCTTGTATTGTAGTGCTTCAACCAAGGAAATGGGAATGATTATCTATCTGATATCATTCTATACAACTTATATCTATTGCTGTAGAAATATGATGTTATGCTAAAATGGCAAACTTCCTGGAATTTTATCTTGATCAGAACTTTCATCGATGTATTGTTCGGGTTAGTAAGCAAAAAGCAGTTCAAAATCATAGGCTTGTGCTACACATTGTGACAGTTAAGTTCCCAGACTGAGGTCAGAAAAAAAAAGCACACACAAAAAAGATAAATATTTATGAATGCCATCACTCAGTATAGTCCCCGCCCTCTTCCGCACAATGTTTACATCGCTCATACAATGAATGAAGTGCCTGAGAAAACGCTTCTTCCTGTATTGCCTTCAGTTGTCTCATCACAGTCTGTTGGTTCAATGAAACAGCATCAAATCTCGTCTCTTTCATTGGAATTTTTAATTTATGAAATGAAAAAAAAAGTTAGCCGGTGCTAAATCAGGGGAGTAGGGTGGATGGGATAAAATGGGATCCCTTGTTTCACCGAAAACTTGGAGACAGTGCCTGAAGAATGCACCAGTGCATTGTCATGCAGAAGATAGCAAGACCCACTTTCCTGAAACTGAGGCCTAACACTATTGATCCCTGTCATTTATTCTAACATCTGAACACTCAGAGTTCAATCTTCGGCCAAACACTTTTGAATGACTTCCATCGATTCTTCTATTCTAGAAGTTGAAGGACAGTCTTTCTGTTCATAGTCTTGTAATGACTCTTGCCCTTCTTTAAACCTTTTATGCCATTCAAACACGCTTGTTCTCGAGAAACATTCTTCACTATACACACTTTTCAACATATCAAACGTTTCAGTAGCTGTTTTCTTTAATTTTACACAAAACTTAATTGCTTCTCTTTGTTCCATTATAAAACCTTTGGCATAACAAAAAAAACTAACTTCACCAAAACAATTGTAATCCTCATATGCATCAACCAAACAAGTTGAAACTTGCATAGCTTATAAATAAACTTTCTCTCTAGCTATTCGTGTTCATCCCCAAAAGGTGACATTAGTAGTATTACTGTAATAATGTCAATTCAGGAACTTATTGTCATCCTGTGTATATATTTTAATATCTGCTTGTATAGATGCAACGGTTTTGCATATGTGATTTGTCTCAAAATGTTAGGCTGGAGACTGGAATACAAAGATGTGCAGTAAGTTGTCACAGCAGTAATACATGTGTGTTGCTTTCAGAGTTCAAATCTTAGTCACGGTCTGACTACAGTAATTTTGAGTTCATAATCCCTTCAGGTTCCATCAAATATCGGGAAAGTCTTGAAAAACTGCACAGCAGGTGGTTTCTTAAGAAGGCTCAGCTCCATGGAGTTAGTTAATCCCTACCACATTCATCCTGATTGATTGTTCTGCTTATCTATTCATGCAGCTGTTGATACAGTGTTATGAATAACTGAATAAATAAACATAAAGAACATGTGATCTGTGGGATGCATTTTTGGGCTAACATAATTGAAACTAGATTCTAAAGGGTTAAGAATTACTGGGTTTTTAGACTTTGTTCATTATCCAGTATTCTAAAAAACACTAGCGAACACAACATTTCTGAAACTGGATCTGTTTCTGTCCTCAGGTCAAGGGGGGAGACACGTACTTTGCGTCTGTTGGAAAGAGCTAACCCCAATCACTGGACAACCTATGTTAGTATAATGAATGTGTAAGAGGTGGGCCTTCTTGGCCCTTGCACCGGGACCACAGTGACCTATTGTGCCATATGTTAGTATAACTACAGCTATATAAACACCTGAGACCAGGCTTTATCAGTGGGAGATAAAGGGAAAATTTACAATAAGAATTGTGATAAACAAAGCACAGACCTGAAACTAAGATAGAAAAGGAGGTGGAAATTCCCAAACTCCAGTAATTCTGAGCAAAAATTAAAACTGTTAAAAATGTCACATATTTGTGACTAGACACAGGGTTTGGATTGGTAACTGGATTTGTTGAACTCTTACAAATTGTTACTGCAAGTAATTATAACACTTTCACTAATCTACACACTTTACAGTTCAGTACAACACCCACACAGTCTTCTCAGTCAGCTGTGTCTTCACCAGCCATTGCCTGGTAACAACCCAATGATGTCCTCTGTTTCCATTGTTTCTGGCTGGTTACTCACTTTTTCTACAAACAGGTCAAAGTTATTTTATGGCTGATGGTCAGTCAGTTTCTTGGTGTCAAGCCCCCACATGACACTCAAGACCAGATTTTTGTTACTGTCAGACAGCTGTGGGTTTGTTGATATGGGGCTTCCTCTCTGACAAGAAGACAGGTCTGTTATTTACAATTGCTGCTGGCCCTCGCCCGTACAGTCACTCTCGGGTCCGAGTCTGAGTCCTGCGGGACTCGTCACTATATTTTACTGTCTCAGATTTGACACTCCCCCAACCTGGAGGGCCAGGTTCCCATATTTATATCCCACAGAAACAGGGTGGTCCAGTTATACCACCAGCCCTGGGTTCCCCTTTCATTGCCTCCTATGACTTCCAGAGATACAGTGTAGGTATTCGAAGCTGTCTCCATGCAGAGAGTTCCAAACAGTCCATGACCAACTCGTTATATCATCTCAGCACAGACCCAATAGAAAACATCGTTTCCAACAGTCCTTCTGTTGTTGTGTTCATGTTCATTGCTGTGAGAATGTGTTTGTTGCACCATGGAAACTTGTTTAGTTTGCAGCAGATGACTTATCTTGTTAAATTATGCCGTCATCATGTCACATTGGTTGCTCCTTAAGGCTGCTCATCCGGAGTAGCCCATAGGCATGTCACCAAATTATTCTTTTGATTTATGGGGCAGAACTCCTGATAGAGGCTGGTACTCCCACAATTCCAGTGTGTAAGCTTAGTAGTCTTCTTTTATTTGGGCAGGGGTTGGCTTCTCCCCAATGTCCTGACACTTGTGTTTCGCAGTTTGATGGAAGACTGACTGCCAGCTCTACGACTTTCAGTCCTAGAGTCTACTTGAGTGGCCTCTTGCTTCTTGGGCCTAGCTATTGTCTTATGGCATGTTCTGTATGCCGTTGCTGAATTCCTGGCCTGGTGTCCCACAAATGGGTTTTGTGTCATGCAGGAAAGACTCAGTGGGTTATTCATTCAATGGCAGTGGCGGACTTCTGCAAGGTTTCACCATAGTCTTGGGTCCATGTTTTCTGTTGATTGTGGTACCCTATGGCCAGATTCTGGTCCCCCAAATAGGCCCTCAGTTGGTCCAGTGGTCTCGTACATTCCTCCTGTATGGTCTTTATGTAGAACATTACAAGTCCAGTACTGCAGGGTGGTAAGCACGTGAATGCTTTCTGCACATGGTAAATCTTCACAGTGTTCTGTTACAGCCTCCATCTTTTCTTGATTGATTTCCATCACTTCTAGGTAGGCCTCCATCTTTTCTACAACATTTGTAATGCAATTTAAGGTATATTGCCAT